GAATCTACAACACTCCCTTTCCTTTTGAATTAAAACTGGGTCCTAGATTACCTGGGTCCCCATTCCTTTGAAACCGCTTCCCTAAGGTATATATCACAGTATCTATATTTCCTATTGCTATCACTGCCATGATGTGTATCTTGGGATAGAAGGGTTTTTCATGTGGGGTATTACACTATATATGTCAATTGGTAAATCATTTCTGTGTTTTTTTTTATACTTTTCCAAGATGTACATTCGCAGATTCTTTCAGGTTGAGATTGATCTGTTCTACTTTGTGATGGTGTAGGCGTCGTTCTCCAGTGAGATGTCTCTGTAACAGTTACATGAGAAATGATCCATTTGGTTGTAAGTATATTACTGTATGATCTCACATGAGTGGGTTATTTTGCTCATAACATGTTGAGTCAGTGGTTGTGCTATGCTGCAGTTTATTTTCAGTTCATTTCTCAGTTTCCCTGAAGAAGAGATTATCTCAAAATGCGTTGGAATATGAGAAACTTGCACTCTAATTGTATCATGATCGTTATTATACATATTCTCTTGTTTTTATGTGATTTTAATGAGATTTGTTGAATAAAACTTGTATGAATTTTATACTTTGTGTAGTGATATCTGTGTCTTAAAAGTCCCATTCCAAACCAACACTATTTTACAGTGTTTATTTACTACTTCACTTTCTTGTGAATGTAACAAAGGGTACAATGAACCCCCTTACTCATTCATGTATCTGAGGGTCCCCTTATCTAAAAGGGTCTCACAAATTCAGACAAGTCCTTCCCCACACAGACTCCTACATCCGCTAGGGATGTGGCCTATAATGATTCAGTAGGGTAGCACACCCTCCCTAACTCCCATTCCTGGCCAGTCATTCTGCATGTTTGGTATAAAGTTCTGACATGGACTTTGGGCATTTTTTTGTTTGTTTTATTGCATGGGATCTGACTAAAAACCCACATCAGACCCTAAGTTAGGGTTTGCTCTGAACAAGATGGTTACTGTCTTTTCCATGTTCTCCCAACAGCACACACTGCCCAAACAGGAAAGTTTACTTTTGCTTTTCTTTTTTTATATACAGTATCTTTTAGCAAATAATCAATAACTGTATGTCATTTTCTGGTTTTTTTTAAATAATATTTTTATGTACATATTTCTAAACACTGTTTTTGTAATATTAAATTCATACATTGGCCTTCTTTGTAGTAAGGAAACAATTTACAACCCTTAGAAAGACTGTTGTGTTACCTGTGTATTACCACTGGATGTAAACTCACTGCTATTGCATTGTGTGGTTGTACCCTAGTTGACTATGTAAGAACTAGATGGCCAATTAAATTACATGTAGCATGTAGTCAGTGTGTGTGTGTGTTTGATGTTTCAGCTATTTCCTGTGTCCATATTGGGAAAATGTGAGTGCTCATGATAATTTTCCGGTATGATGGTCAATTTCCGAGAACATGTGAAAGGTGGTGATTCCTGGTTTACCTCCTTGTACAATCTGTACCTAAAAGACTAAGGGCCACCCACTTGAACTGGAGCACTCTGGTAGCATTTGGGGAAGGACTCCCCAATGTCGCTTGGGCTTCTGGAAAGGCTGCGCGCTATTATGCTCTGGCCCAGTATCCACCACTTTGGTTCTAATGGAGGAGAGCCTCTCATATGGCTGATAATCACTTGCCCAGCTCCCTCTACCTCAGCAGGTATGGCCTCTTTGGGCTGCTGAAATTTATACTACCTAGGCAGGTCGGGGAACCCAGAAAGTTGGCGTTGTGGGAGATAAAGTTAAATAGACTTGGACCTACATCTGAGCATAGTGAGTAATAGACACTATGCTACATTCCTTTCTATATTTCAAACATAGATTGTGATTATTGAAGTCTGTTTGTTCTGACCAATTTTCTTTAATTTTTTTTATCACATTTTGTGAACAAGAACAATTTTTTTTTTATGTTCCAAACAATAGCCAAAACCCACAAAGACATCTTATTCAGAGATCAAGGAAGCAATTATCTCTCAAAAACCAGTAAGTCCCTGAAATGATCCAGAGAGTGACACCCTGAGGTCAAGACAATGCTCTATTTTCTTTAAGGGATGTTTCAGAACACTGCAGGTTATTTGCTTTAAAGCTCTGTTTCAAGCAGCCAAGCAGTAAATCAAAATTGTGTGTGTTTTTTCATTATATTAAAGCAAACTATGAAATTTAAAGCAGGAATCACCCTGTTTTCTTTATACAAAGAGAAAGAGCTCTTTTCAGTGTCTTTACCATTAAAAAATTCCAAATTCCTCTTTGATGTAATACCTTCATTCAGTTTGCAGTAAATGAGCGTCAGTACAAAGGATTGTTTTTATGTAAACTAGCTACTATTACTCCTCTCTGTGCTATGTCTTTTATGTATACTGTAAAAACTTTTTTTTACATTAAAGGCTTTTTTTTAATTATCAGTACAAGATTTTACACTCTGCCAGACATGAGAAAAAAAGTGTTGGTTTACATGTTGTTGTTGTATTAGCAACACTTTTAGCTAATAAAACAATGCCACACTCAGCACTGAAAAGAAGCTGATACTGTGATCCCTTAGGAAGTGAGAGAGCAAAACGTGAGCATGTGACTGGGTAAGTAATCACTGACCACCAATGCTGGGAGATTAAGTTTGCTGTCACTGACTACCATGGAGTAAGGGAAGGGGGGGTTAAAACACTGCCATAGACCAAACATTTTGGGGGTAATAACACTGCCACTGGTCACCAGTAGGGAGTTAAATAGTACTTGTGCTGACCACCAATGGGGAAGGGGGTTGACAACACTGCCACTGAACACCAATGTGTTGGGGGAAAGTTGAGGGTTATATTTGCATCCAATACAGTATATTGCCAGCATGGTCTGCAAGGTTGAAATCATGTAATCATGAGTTTACAGCACTGAAAGAATTTCAGGAGGACAATTCAATCATCAAACCCACTGAGGGTGCCATTGGGGTCATGGACTACATATATTACAGGGAGAAGATGTTATCTCTGCTAGTCAATAAACCTTATTATTTTTGGTACTAAGAGGTATATAATACACAGCACTGGCTTACAGAAGAAGTAGTGTCACTTCTATACAATGATTCAAAGGTACCAACACGCTGAAATGTTGACCACTTGTTTTGGGCTGTAAAACTAGTTAAGTTGATGGACTTATACTGCATGTCCAGCCATTAGTTAATATTCTTCCAGCATTTATCAATAGCACATAAGATTGCTCTTCTAAATTGAGAGCAGTTCCCAGGTTTCATGATTTTTCAACTGAAAATTAACAACCATGGACATTTTGTCCATTTTCCTAGCAGAACAGAACATTATGTAGCCACTGAATTCATAGTTACTGTACATAGTAACTCTAGTGCTTGAAAATGTCTTCTTAATGTTTGAAAACATGACATATGCCCAAATTTGGGGCACTGCCTTGGGCTGATCTGCTGCACCATCCTTTGTTACCTGTTGTGGGAGTCCTTGAGAAACAATACATGTATTGCTCTCTGGTGTTTGAAATATATGTGGATGGGTAAGATATATAGATGGCATTTTATATTTTTAAGATGCAGTGTTGAATTTATGGGACCGTAGGCAGAACCCAACATTCACAAATAATAATAAATAATAATAAAAAACTCTACTAAACATTTTTGTTGGATCGAAATGGTCGCAGCCCTTTATTATTGGTAATATTATAATAATAAATATTATTTATTATTATAACCAACTTGTAACACCTATATAAATAATATATCTTTTACCAATTAAATTACACAGAACCAAAATATATCTTCACTTATATTTAAGAAAACATCTATATAACTCAGCTATTATCGCTCGAGTTATGACAACTGGTACAAATAACTGTCCCCTTTCATATGAAAGGGACGAATACCACATAAAAAGGACTGCTACATAGGTGGGAGGGTGGGACACTTCTTCTGTTGCTCTTGCTGTCTGACAGCTTGTGATGCAGATTTAATTGTTTAAATACAAACTGCCTCAAGCTGCAGCTGTTTAAAACATGTGACTCTCTCCTTTTAACCAATTATAGCCTGTATGATTTAACTGCCACAGTAGTTATGCAGAATCTGCCAATTTTAAAGGTCTCCCACAGTCCCATAGGTGGGTGAGGCAAGTTAATTGCTCCTCCACTTATCATGAGTTTTGTTGATAAGTTGAATGCTGGCATTTTTAGAGGTTTTGATACCTCTATCACATTTCTAGATGTTTGCATTACAGTTGTAAATTGGGCCCTTTGCACCTCTGTCTTCTATAAGCCCACAGACAGGGTCATGTTAATAGAAACACCAAAACATACTCACAAACAATTATGTATCAAAAGCATCATACTCTCAAAGCAACCAGGTCACCAGGCCAACTCCAAAACCTCGAGAAGACCCTCAGATGGCTGACACAGTTTGAGGGACAGTTCCCTCTTCTATAAAGCCAGTCCTTGTATATTATATAGGGCGCGCTTGTTGGAGCCCAACCTCTGTAGCTGTAAGATAAAGGTGCCAGATGGATATCAGGGATGGATGGAAGCAGTGACACTGAGGCAGCTCTTATTAGAGTGGAAGCAAGGCTCTAATGCAGTAACAAGAAAAAGAGAGGAAGGCGCCTCTAAGTGCAGTATTAACAATTTATTAGTAGACAATGGAAAATTTGCACTTACAAGATAAACGGTTAAAAAGACTCATCGTGTGGTAATTAGATCCAGGTGGGACATCCAGCCGTCCATCAGCAAGCTATGCCTATAGGATCAGGAAGTAGAGTCCAGGATGTGCCTGTGCATCACAAATTAAGCTTGGAGAGCAGAGTCAGATGTAGCAGGTGAAAGGGGCGGTAATGCATTTCGGAGCATGCTCAATAGGCTCCTTCTTCAGACCTCTGGGTGGCCACACTAAACAGAGGACAACTCCACGGAAGTGGGAGCGGGTACCTGTCAAATTCAGGTACCCTCTTCCCCTCCCTCCCCAAAGGTCCACAGTCTCTGATCATCTCCTGTACTGTCTGCAGTCTCTTGGTCATCCCCTGTACTGCCTGCAGTCTCTTGGTCATCCCCTGTATTGTCTGCAGTCTCTTGGTCATCCCCTGTATTGTCTGCAGTCTCTTGGTCATCAACTGTACTGTCTGCAGTCTCTTGGTCATCAACTGTACTGTCTGCAGTCTCTTGGTCATCCCCTGTACTGTCTGCAGTCTCTGGTCATTCCCTGTACTGTCTGCAGTCTCTGGTCATCCCCTGTACTGTCTGCAGTCTCTGGTCATCTGTACTGTGTCCGCAGTCTCTGGTCATCTCCTGTACTATGTCCGCAGTCTCTGGTCCTCTGTACTGTGTCTGCAGTCTCTGGTCATCTCCTGTACTATGTCTGCAGTCTCTGGTCATCCCCTGTACTGTGTCCGCAGTCTCTGGTCATCCCCTGTACTGTCTGCAGTCTCTGGTCCTCTCCTGTACTGTGTCCGCAATCTCTGTTCATCTCCTGTGCTGTGTCCGCAGTCTCTGGTCATCTCCTGTACTGTGTCCGCAGTCTCTGGCCATCTCCTGTACTATGTCTGCAGTCCATTGGTTCAGAATATTTATTGTCTTGTTTTTCTCCTCTAAAACCTAGGCGCGTCTTATGGTCAGGTGCGTCTTGTGGAGCGAAAAAATACGGTAACTGATTGATGAATGAAAAGTAGATAGACCATAATTACACATATCACATATTGTATACTAATAAAGAAAATTAAAATTACATAATTGTTGCATAACAAGATGCAAATAATAAAAAGAGAGCTATTCTAAGAGCTAGAGGCTACATGGTGGATCCATGTGCCGATGGATTGGTTCACACATATATGGAAACAAAGTGCTTATGTGCACACATGCATACCAAATCGAGTAGACTGGCATGCACGTGCATACCCCACCCTGAGAGAATGTGCACCTAAGATAGCATCATGCCCTGGAAAAACTACAGATGAGCACAAGTACAGACTACAAAGAGGGCTTTGGGCTCTATGTGCAACGTCTACAATCCCAAGGCTTAAAAATTAATGAACATAGTGGTAGCTAGAATCAAATCTTCATATAAGCACAACCAGAAGTATGTAGAAAGGGCAAGAATATCTGGTTCCCAGGCCAGAAAAATCACTAACCTCAAGTTGTACAAGATGCCCTGGAGTCTTACAAAGGAAAGAAGAAACAAAAAACAACTGACAGTGGCCCCACACAAGGACGAAATGGAGATGGATGCCTAAAGACCTGTACTGTTTACATCAGCCCACAACTCTTGAGCGCAGGGGACTTTCATACATTTTTTCCTTTCTTGCAACTTCTTAACAGCCTACCTATTTAACAGCCCATGAGGGTACTACAGATCTGTTCTGACCTTATAAAAGCCCAGCAACATGAGAATATGTTTGAGTATATCAAAGAACATGTGTCAGGAACATGGTGCCAGTTGTCAGACTAAGACGGACTGTCTGGCTAATACACATACATGCATGTCCTCTTCCTATTTAAACTTGCACTCTGCACTAATTATTTGCTGTAGGTCTTCAGCCTTGTTTCTTTGATCCAGCCTTGATGCGCATCCTTGATCCTATCACTGAACCAGCTTTCTCTCTGACCTTGCTCTCGAACTACTCTTGCCTGCTCATGTTTTGCTGTCTGCACCCACTGTCGGACTATTAAGCACACTTCTGCTTAGTAACTCTGTAACTCGTTGCCTGATTGTTCCTGACTTCTGCCTTTTCCTGACTCTGATCCTGCTTACATCCTGGTGTCCTTTCACTCAGCTGTTACTTAACCAGCTGTGGGACCTGACTCCACCATTAACTGCACTTCTTACCAGTGCTCTTAAGTTCCTGCTTACAGCATCTACACATTGGCACTTGTGCCTTTCCTTCACCCCTGTGCAAGAGGCCACCCTCATCATCTCAGTTTCTGCATACTGGTATGTGACTGCCCTAACACAGCACATGATCTTAGTCCTGCAATGGGGTGTTTTTAGATTAAGAATCCCAGACATCAGGCAACTGAAAGAATTCCATTCCTAGAGAAGTACAACAAGGCATTGAAATATATGGGGGCCACATTACTTAATCTTAACATTCTACAGGCAGTTAAAGTTAAATCAGCGCCCTTACAACAAACCCAATGCCAACACAACAAAACCGTATAGTATATCACCACTTATCCTGCGCTACCACTTGTGATATGTACCTTTTCCCCACCATCCTTCCTTCAATATTTATATGTGTTAAGAGTGGCTGCAAACAAATAAGAAGTGTTTCCACAATCTACAAGAACAATGAATTTAAATAAATTTTGCTGTGCCTACCTCTCTGTGCCAAAATATTTAATTAAACAATATTACATACAAATCAATATATGCCATGCTCAATTCAGTGAATAAATTGCTTCAATACAATAAATAAACTTTGCAATGTCCCAGTATTTGATTAACTCAATATCAGTGTTTTCTTCCCGTGGTATTCCACCACCGTTCACATATGAGCTTCACCATTAGATAAGACCTTGGTAAATCAGTTCTAAAATCACTTTTTCCCTCCACTAAGTTCCCACTTCAGCCAATGCTGCAGATGCCAAAAGCTGCACACCAAATTCCGGGTGTATGGCCCTTTAAAAACTTGTCACCTGTTCTACAATCAAGCTCATACAAGAAAGGATGTCCCCATAGTGTAGAATATTAAAATCCAGACTTTAATAAATTTGTATTGCACTTACATACAAATAAAAAAACAGTAACGCTGTAAATGACAGTCTGAGGGGCTGCGGCTCCCGTTTCACTTCTGGCTTTAGGAATCGTCACCTGGCTCCGCCCAACGCATGTCATCATGGTCACATAACTTTCACACAGAACCAGATATTACAAGTGCCAAAACTGCAACTTTTGTAACTCACTAATTTGAGTTAAGTGTATATTTTTATGTTTGTATATTTTTAGGTGTACCTGCACCTAGTTGGATGTGAAGGAAAACAATGGATCCATTTAAAAGAAACTTCCAAAAACACATTAGTGCCACTGAAATTGTAATCACCAAAGAAGCACGGATGAGTCTGTCAACAAAGCAAACTTGTTGCACTGATTTTGGGGATTTTGTGGAAGCAAGACACCAAGACCATGAGCTTGAAGTTATGGAGTAGGTACATATGTCTACAGGAAGTGAAGTTAGGGACAATCAATTCCTTAACCATGATGCATACTGGATATACACACTGGACACAGTATATCCCAGAAGATTGAATGCCACTTACCTACCTCTTACATGAAAGCTAATTTTTCCATGTTTGCATGCCATACACTGCCAGTACAGTCTTTGAGCTGAACTGCCCTGGGTTCAGTATGAACAGGGTTCAACAAACCAAAGAAGTTCAAATGCTGAACATGAACCCCCTTGAAATCAATAGGAGATGAATCTGTTAAATTACAAAATGCCATTTTCTGGGCTAATAGGTAAGAGTGTGCAAAAAAAAAAAAAAAAAAAAAAAAAAAAAAAAAGCTTGCTGGAGAACATATACAAATGCAAAAAAAAGTGTTAATTTCAGGAACAGTGTTTTTTAGCACTGAAATTTACAAAATGAAAGAGTTTTAAATCGTCAGCCTCCTAGTTTTTTTTTGTAAAAATGGCACACAGACCCCAAAGTTCTCCCAAAATATATAGCGGACCCATAAGGTGTTTTTTTTTTTTTTTAAGAAGCTGACAATGTAAGTTTTTTTGCAACTTAAATTGTATCAATTTTGTATTATTTGTAAATGTTACCTTTGCAGTAGCACATTCTGCAAGTTACTTTTAGTAAATGTGGAATCTGCATAGTCGCATTTACATAATAGACAATGCTAAATGTGGTCCCTAGAGGGCGTAGGAGCACAGGATTAGGGGGAGAGAGAGAGAGAGAGAGAGAGAGAGAGAGAGAGTGTGTGTGTGTGTGTGTGTGTGTGTGTGTGTGTGTGCGTGTGTGCGTGTGTAAAAAAGAAACAACTGGCAGGTGTGCCAGGTTGTTGTTTGGCTTCTTTTGATGGTAATTCTATTATTAATTCACTTTCTTGTTTTGTAGTGTTTTTTACATGTTATGCTAACAAGTGCATTTTTTAATGAATGTTACAGAATAATGCATACTATTTTCTAATTAATAAATATGCCTAAAAATGACAGTTATATCTCTATTATATGACAAATAATTTTTAATGTCTAATTTGAATTTTCTCATAATTGTTTATCTTCATTCTAGTGGTTAGCATTTCTGCCTAGCAGCACTAGGGTTGCTGGTTCAAATCTCAACCATGGCACTAAATGCATGGAGTTTGCATGTTCTGCCTGTGTGGGTTTCCTCCTGCACTTCAAAGACAAGACACACTGGTTGTTGTTTTGGCTCCTGTGTAAATTGTCCCTAGTATATGAATGTGACTTTAGATTGTAAGCCCCTAGAAGACAGGGCCTGATGTGAATGTATAATATACAGTATATGTACAGCACTGTGTAAATTGTGTGTGTGTGTGTGTGTGTGGGGGGGGGGGGGGGGCTCACTATTCCACCCCTCTTTCCTGGCTTGCATGACTGTATGCTCAGATAAGAGTGTATTAGTGATTTTGGGGGGAAGCCACACTTCTTTTAATTTTTTAGCCTTCAAATCCATGATAGTTATATCTCTGTTATATGACAAATAATTTTAATGTCTAATTCAAAGTTTCTTATAATATCTACTTATAATTATATATAGAAATAGAATAAGTAGCACAGGAGTGGGCAACCACACACCAAACCAGGTTGGGGGTGTCCTACTCCATAAAATGGGACTTTGTATGTTCCTTTCAATGAGAAAAGCATACAGCACAATTGAATATAATATTAAAAAATATACAACTGTATTGGTTCTTCCCCCATTAAAAGGAAGAAGAGACGCTTTATATATTAAAATCATACAGTCTCAAAGTGTAACAAGATCATACAGTTGTTTTAGGTATTGTCGAAGTATACAGTAAGTGTATAGGACTGATGGGTTTCGCTATGTTTGCTTCCTCAGGATCCATGCTTAAGATGTACCACTAGAGTCAATAAAAACTACAATCAGAAAATACAGTATAACAAGCAAAAATACAATAATGTGACAAACTAAAAACATAATAAGGACAAGATGTAGGAGGGGGAAAAAAGGTGGGGTCGCAAGAGACAAAAAAAGGGCCCCAAACATTGAGTTCAAATCTCACTGCCTCCTCTCCCTTAGACCTAAAATGCTAGGGCCAAGAGGGAAATCAGAAACAGAAGGGTCAGGATAGAGCATGCACCTAGAAACATGGGCATATATAATTGTGATTACCATGACACTCACCTAAACCACATACAGATATATCTTGAAGTTGGACCCTTGCTTTGAAGTTACCTTTTTCGTAGGGGAAAAAAAAAACTCCCCCCCAAGATCACTCTAGGAA